AGGGTCCTAACTCCATGGGAAGATCTGCAAACATATGGCACTGAATAGGGATGTGCAGAGGTTTTCCTTGCAAGTACCACCCACATGCAGAATTTGATTAAAATGCAATGAGGTCCTTGTCAGGGAAGGAAGGTGGCTTAGGTGGCTCGACAGTCATTATTGTCCTGTTATTGACTGTCACTCTACCGATGCCACATTGTGATTCATCCTCTCTGTGCCAAAGGAGCATCATAAAACTTGACTGCACACGACTGAAAATGATTCCCCCCCCCAGTCTACCAGTGCACCACAACAAGCAGAGAATGTGTGTCATTATCAACTTTTCATATAACTCTTCGGGGTTTGGGACAGGGTTAGCTCGTTGCTGAAAGCAACTGGATGAAACTGTCTAATATTCTTTCTATTCAGAAGGATTGCTTTCAAACAAACCTTGAAATGCTGTCAAGCTTACAAGATGTCAGCCTGGTGTCGCATTCAGAAACAAACACAACACAGATTTCAAACATGTATTTTGACCGATTGAAAACTGCCAGGTTAGCGGCCTCTCTTACACCGTCAGAAAAGAGAAAAATACTGTTTCCTGAATATAAACCTGTGTTCTGTTGTTATCATTCTGAGTCTCCTTTCAGGCTGCCTGCAGATTAAAAAAAATGTCTTCACATCCTGGATGCATGGCCTTTTCCTCATTAGTCATCTTGTTTCTGTGAATTTATGAGAAAACACACACCATTGCGTATCTTTTGACACGCCAAACAGATTTGCAATAAAACAAGGACACAACTGAGATTGATGACTGAGCTGCTTCCTGAATTCATGTCTCTAGTAGAGCATGTAAAAGCTTTTCAACCGAGGCTCTGCAGCTTTTTACTGTTGTCCAGCATAGTGTTTCTAATCACACGAGCAGTGATATTCATCAAAACATTCCCTCACATGAACTGGAGGATTGTATTTAGGTAACATAGTGCATGGTTTGTTTAATGAGTTCTGAATACTTGCTATTTTTTAACAGCTTGGCAACATTTCACACATCTTTTGAAATTAATTGTTTATTTAATTATACTTATTACGCTCTGTGTACCCTCAGAGAACCCATTTTTGTTAGTGACACCTTTGTAAATGAAGCAAACTTAAGCTAATGTTAGCTCTCTGTTGAAGCTCAGAGCCGACTACAGACACTCAGATTTCAATTCTTATTCATAAAGATGACAAGCCACAGGCTTTTAGTTGTTGTTTGTCTCATTTTTTCAAGTTAAATGATATGGAAACAAGCTGCCTTCACCTATGGGAGTACCACCCATGCCATGAAGCTCCCAGCACACAGATTTTGTGCTGATGTTAATGCCAGAGGAGGTCTGGAACTCTTTAACTTTATGTGATCTGTTACTTGGTGGCTGAGTTGTTGGGATTTCGATTTTGCAATAACACTTAAAATACTCTAGAAGGGAAGAAAATTCACACACTCAGATTCAGTCTGTTCTTTAGAACAGCGGCCTCCAACCCCGGTACCGGTCCGTGAGTTGTTTGGTACCGGGCCGCGAGAGTTGAGGCTCAGGTGTGAAATTAAGGTTTTCAGGGTTTTTAATCGTTACTTTTTTAAATCATTTTTATCGTTAACTCGGTTTCCCTGGGTCTTTTCCCGTGTGTTATGAATAAATCTTCGTTTTTTTGGTACCAGTACTGGTTTTATTTTGTTGTGTTTATCAGCGACACCTTAAAGGCAAAAAAGGTTGGGGACCGCTGCTTTTGAACAACCCCTTCTTTCAAAAATGTTTGTAAAGTCAGACTGCATGGCTGGCTCCTTGATTTTACACACCTGTGAAACTGCATGTGAAAACACCTGAATTAAAAAATAAAGACTTTTGTCCAAATAGTTCATGTCTCCATTCGTTATTGTGAATAAAGTTGCATACTGTATGTTTAAACCAGCTAAAAGTGGAAAAAATGGCAAAACTATTTCATGTAGAATTTGTGAAATACACAAATGTGTGCATATCTGTGTGTGTGAAAAGTATAGGGCCCCTGTGATTTGTCTTCTCCGTCCCCTGGCTTGGTTACTAGTGAAAAAACAAAAAACGCCTTAAAACCAGTCTTAAATTCATAGTTTCACTGTTCCAGAAGCTTTGTGGAAAAGTAAAGCGACTTGCAGTTTTAAGGAATAAACAAAGTGCCTGGTATTTATTGGGTCCTATTTTCAGAGGTGTATTAATACACATCATGCGCTCTGCTGTGGAAATAAATCATCAGGCTGGTGTATGTGGTTTGTGACTCAGTAAACTAACAGATAGCGAGAAACGAATAAGCAATAGAAACAAAGTTCACAGATCTTAGGATGAATAAATTGTTAGCTTTAGATTCTGATGACAAGAGCAGAGACAAAAGAACACCACCAGGAGCTAAAGCGTATTTGTACGCTCCTTTTTATAATGGTGTAAAAATAACTGGAACTACTAAAGTGAAGCAAAGAAAGGGAAACAGGGCAAGAAACAAACAAACAAATAAATAATAAAATTGTCAAATTACAAACAAGCAAGCAAAGCATTACAATCACACAAGCATTAAACAAAGCACAGATTTAGTCATTTCTCAGGGTGAGCGCTCACTAATTTTAATTCAGCATGTTTTATGCCACTCACTTCCTTTCCGGCAAATTAAATTTGAATACATTCAGAGGATACATTTTGCTGCCTAACTGCAAGGCTTTATGTCAAAGGATGCCCTATCGTGCATGTTCACTCTGACCCTAGCATGACGCCGAAGCGCCAGAGTAGCAGCGGTGCGCCCTGTCACCCGCCGTGCAGCGTGCCGTTTCAGATGCAACAAAGCAGCGTATCGGGTCAACAAAGAAAAGCACTACTGGCAAAACACTTAGCTCTTTGCCTGCTGATTGATTGCTTTTCATTGTTGCCAGTTTGAATATGCTGTTCCTCTGATGGGCAGCTTGGCAGAACATGTAATCGTGTGTGTGTGTTTAGAGCCAATAGCCCGGCCAGGATTTGTGGGGAAGCCTGTTGAATCCCGATTTAGTGTCTGCTGTCTGATATTTTTGTCTGAGTGAGGGATTTGAAAAATGCCTTGAAAATAATTTTGTGAGCTAACACTCAGTACGGACTGGCAGGTGAAGATAATCGCAGTGAATTTCTCATTAAAGGTCATGCAAACCAACACGCTCGTGCATGTTTCAAACGTGTGAGGGCTCTGGGGCAAGATGAGAGGGTATAAACCGAAGACGTTTTGTCCTCGTAAATGTTTAATGTTAGAAGAACCACAGCAACAACAAATGATTAAGGCTGTTTATCCAACTGAATGACAGAGCGGCGGTAGCTTCTATTACAACAGAGAGATGTAATTTACTAAAATGGACTTCTAACTGACACCTTGTATTGGCTCTGTTTATTAGTGAGGAGACAAGTGTCTTGAGGGGGCTTTTCATGTGCCTGTTGGTCTTAAAAAACACAACCTAATTGGATTACTTCAGCACAAATCGGCAGATATGAAGAGAATCAGCGAGGCAACTATTCACAGTATAGAGAACAATCAAACGCGGGCATGTCAGCTCGGCTATTTGAAAGTAAATCTAAAATTCCAAATTACTCCACAGCTTGCCAAGCTTTCACCGGTTAAAACCCCAAAAGGATACAAGCTGCAAACAATTACAATCAATTCAATGCGAGCAGCATTTTTACTAAGCAGACCAGTGTATGAATCAGTGATATTTGTTAGGTAGCTGTCAGCTGGGAGAATGTAATCCAAGCAGCTGTTGCATTTAGCACTTCCAATAAGTGAATTGAAGAAGCTGCACAAGGACACATCTGCTGCAATTAGACGAATGGAATGAAGGGCTTGGCTTAAAACTTGATTTTTAACTGAGGAGTTTACCTCAATTATCTTTTGGTGTTTTAATAAAATTGTCCAAATACAAAAATAACCGAGGCTTATTATTATTATTATTATTATTATTATTATTATTATTATTATTATTATTATTATTATTATTATTATTATTATTATTATTGTTGTAGCCGCAGTGAGAAATTTCTCAAACTCAGATGTAGTTTCAATTTTGAATGGCCTCATAAAAATACAGTGAAGTTGACCTTTAACTTTTGGACATATATTTTTAAAAAAAGTTAGTTTTTGTGAAATATTTCCACATTTTGTAGTTGAATTGCTTGCATCAGCCAAATTCTAAGAAATTCCTTCAAGGATAAGGTATCACATTCCCGAGTTATCTAGGCTGATGGCCAATAATGTGATTTGTGAGGTCACAATTTCCTTCACTTTTGACCCCCGGATTGTAATCAGTTCCTCTGGTCACAGCCTGCTCTGTGATGAAAAAGGACAGCTTTTCAAATGTCTGGATAGTGCATGTAATTCAAGACACTCTTCTCTCAGTTTGAACTAACCATATGAATGATCTTGTCGCTGCTTGAGCAAGATCAGTACATCTAAACGAACCCACCTGAATTCAGAAGGCAGCCTAAGCTTACCTACTGCACGGTCTGGCACGGTCTTCTCATCTGGCTTTCAGCAAGAAAGCAAAATCATTTGTATGCTACCTTCTCACACCGTATAAAATTCAGAGTATCGTTGCCTTGAGCTTGAGAGCAAACGTCGCTGAATAAATAGAGCTGCACAATAGTTTATTTTAACTGCCATGGAAATGAAGTCAAAAAATAACCCTCTCATCAAAGCGCATTCAGCTTTAGGCTCCTAACAGAAAGGCTGTCCCACTTCCCATGACCCAGCCGAGAGTGATCACACCTACACGAGGCACGAATCGCTTGGAAATTTTTCCATCCCCACAGCGTCAGGTTTAAGGTGTTGATTACCTAGCGAAAGCCGCTGTTAAACAGGTACATCTCAAAGAGCTCCGTCTGAAAGCGCTTCAGTCATCGTTACTTTGCACAGTGAGATAACTTCCAATTTTCAGTGTGAAACGGACACATGCTTGCTAGTCAACTGAAAGAAAAAGAAAAAGCAAGAGAACTTATTATTTTTACCTCCAGAATGAGGAGGAGGGCCGCAGAGCAGAACCACTCCTTGACCTTCACGCACTGAAACAGAGCTTCTTCTCTGAGTCTTGAAGTTTTCCAAGTCTGCAAAATAGAAAAAACAAAACAAGAAAACAGCAGTAAGTAAAATATTCCACAAGCTGGAGGCTGTTACATTTTATTAGCATACACATGAAGGTGCTGTCATGAACAAATTACTGTTTTTCTTACTTCTTTTCAAGGTCACATTGTGCGCAACCTAAAGCAGCAGGTGGGGAAAACGCTCACAACAGGTTGCCTGTTTATTACAGAGCTCGCAGACATAAACACAGCACACACTCACATAGCGCCAGAAAGTTCATGGCCTATATTTCTTCAGACTGTGGGAAGAAACTGATGCTTTATCCTGTCAAATACAGTACTTGTAAACTCTGAGGGCCAGAGTTCAAACTCACAGCGTGTCAGACGCTGTTGCAAAAAACCTGAAGCCCCGTGCCAAGCAAATGATATACAAAAACATGACGTACGGAACATTTTGAGTAAGTCAGAAAAAACCTTTAAAGACTGCCTGAACCTTCAGCAGCAACAAACTGAACATTTTTGGCAGTAAACAGCCTTTGGCTTTGCCTCAAGCCAAATCATCCCCCCCCCACGTGCGCCTGTGCTGCCGATATCCAAATTCACGGAGATGGTGCCACAAGTACGGGGGTTTTGGTGGAGGAAGACAGCAATGAGTGATTTAAAAAAAACGCACAGGTAGCGTAAATCAGTACAGGACAGATAAGTTGTACCTGACTATTATACATCAATCAAAGTCGTCATAGGAAGTGTAAATGCTTTGATATGACTAAAAGGACAAATGAATTAAATTTCTCATTTATTATTGTTAAAAACCTGACAAACTCCCTCCGTGATTAATTAGAAATAAGAATTAAAAAGTAGAATCTGGATGAAAAACTGTGATGAATTTTAGAAGAAAAACCCTTCGGGGACTGAGCATTAGCATTACTTTCCAACGCCTCCCCTTCAACTGGGTAAAAGCATTGTCTTGTAAGTACAGCGGACAAAGTTTGCAGCACTATGAACACGTTTTGGATGCAAACTCAAAAATCTTAGGACTGTTTTAAAAAACTAACAAGGACAGGAAGTATCGGAAAGGCAGAATAGTTTTAAATATATGTTTGCTTTAAATGTTCAGAAGAGATTGTGCCTTTGCTCAAAGGAAGGGAGATGCATTCAGTTATTTGGCTGCTTTTGTGAGTGTGTGTGTGGATGGGGGTGATGGTGGGTAAGGGGGGTGAGGGCCACCTTATGTCACTTCTTTTGACACACCCCTGTTAATCACACAAAGATAGGTCGATGGAAGGAAGCACTCACTCGTGTGTGTGTGTGTGTGTGTGTGTGTCTGTTGCTTAATTTCTTTTTGCTGGATTTATTTCTTTTGCATACTTGAGGGGACACACTTAAGATAAGGGGGAAATGAAAAGAATGAGGCCTGTTATTGCTCCCTGTAACCTGCACTGGTAATTGTATGTTGCGAATAATGAATGTAAGTTAAGCTTGAGCTGAATACATGATGAAAAAAAAAACTATAACTAAGCACTGAAATCAATAAAGACACACACCCACACTAATATGAGCCAGACAGCAATCTGAAGCCTCGCTGCTAAGCAGAGAGGGTTCCCGTGGCAGGTCACACATGAGGGATTTTAATAGCTCTGGTGGTAATCAGGTACCTTTCATTCATCAAACCTACCACCACCGAACCACACAAAGCTATTCCTAGTAGGGCTTTGACACCACAAGTACTGTTAAACTGAAGTATTTTCCTTTGACAGCTGATGGAAACAATAGCAGGTCAGAACCACATCTGACATTTGCTGATGATTTATGCAGAGCAAATCATCTGCTAATCGGAAGGTTGGTGGTTCAGTCCCTCCAGTCTGGGCAGGATACGAACCCCAAGCTGCTCCATCGGAGTATGACTGTTAGATAGAGAAGTGCTTGCATGAATGAGCACTCAGACATAGTAGAAAAGCGCTATAGAAGAACCAGTTCATTTCAAATTGGCTCCATTAATGATGTACAGAGCTCAGTAAATGTAATTCACACGTTGCATAGAGACTAAGTGTCTGCACTGGTAACTCAGTTTGAAGAGTGCTACATATATTCCTGAGGGAACTATTTAAATACAGATACTTGTAATAAGTACAAAGAAAACATGGAGCTACTCGTATATTTAGAGGTTAATTGGCAGCGTAATTAAATTAAACAGCTTCTTCTGGCTTCCTTTATTCCACTTCTTGTTTTTTTTTTAATATTCAGTTTGAGGTCAGAGATCATTCATAAATGTGATTTTAGCTACCGAACCGAATAAAAGACAGACAACGAATTAATACATTAAGAGGCTTGATATACTGTCTCAGATTTATCCATACATATTCTCCAAATTGGATTAATTAACCTTAATTAACCTTGCAATATGCAGAATATTGTCAAGTCAGTTCGAGCGGTGGCGCGGACACGAGCGCTGTCTTTGCAGACCTGCTCGTCTCAAAACTGCAAACAATCCACTCAAATGAGATTACTGATTAGTTCAGCTCCAAGTGATCTAAATGTAAAATTATCGGGCTCAGTGATTTATGAAGAGGACTATAAGGTCAGTTAATATATGTCATATTGGCCACAGAACAAGTCAATTAAGAGGCTGGCTTTAATTATTTCTTTAAACATAAATCTCTTCTTAACCCAAGAGTACGCTTTAACTAATAGCGATCTGAGAGTCTTAAGCCCTATTAAAAGAGCAATTCCTAATATTTTTCTAAAGATTAATGCCAGATTGGACCTTTAAGTGTCAAATTGGATGTGTCTCCCTCAAGGATGTAAAACCAAAGTCAGCATTTTTGCCTCAAACTAGAGAGACAGAAAAAGAAAACACCTGAATCAATACATGGGGTAAAGTCATTCAGAATAATTTGGCAGAGTGCTACAATTTTAAAGAACAGCACCAGTTTCTGCCTGAATAATACACATGCAACATCTAATATAGTGTCTTCTCATTGTTCTTGGCTACAACTGCTAAAACAAAGTTGCACTGTGGTGTTGGTGGAGAGCAAAAAACAAAAACCAGAGCAGGACTTTGTTTTTGTTTTCCTGTCTGTGCCTCTGGGGCACTTGTACCTGAGCTCAGTGAGGTCGAGGAGCTGAGAAAAAGCATCTTGGGCTTCCTGGTGTACACATGCAGAGGACACTATGGATTACTTCACATTTAAAAACATGCTGTCCAGTAGACTCGGACGGCTGCTGAGAAAGCATAACAAAGTGAGGCTGACGTTCACGCTGCCTCTGCCGTGGCCGGGGTGCCGGCACAACTAGCTGTGTTGAGCCCGCAGGACTCACTCGTAGCGCTTGCTGCCCACCGGCTGCAGCAGGAACTGAGTCATCGTGCTGCAGTTTGTTTTATCAGGGACTGTTTGTGATTGTGTAGAGGGGAGCACAAGTGTGTGACTGTGAAGGACACTGAACTTTAGGAGACAAACTCACTGATGGAGTATGAGACGCCGGCTACTTGTGAAGGGTAGTGGTGCATGATTTGTCTCTGTCATACCTCTCCTTCTATAATCCACCCAGATTTTTCTCCACCTCTAATAATCACAGTAACAATATGAAGTATTTTTTTTTTTCAAACGTTCTTAGTTCCTGTTACAACACCCAAAACAACAGCTCAATACATAAATATAATATCATAAAAGCTTAAACTAAAGAAAGAGCTCGGTTAAACCAAAAAACAAACAATCTGACAGGACAGCAGGTGGTATGAAGACTTTGTGCTTTTGTCCTTGCAGCAGCAAAGTTAGCAAGAGCAGTAAGTGGTTCACAGGGTTGTTGGGATCTATTAATTAGCCATATCCTCTGTGTCAGCTGATCCTCCAGGCTTTGTTTTTTCTTATTCATGCCACACAAATGTTCCTTCACAATAACGTGTGGGATTACACCACTTTTTAATGACGACTAGTGCATCCCATGCACATTTCTTCTTGCTCAGGTTAACGTCTCTACCCTCCTGAAAATTCCGGCCATCTAGCACAGTCAGACTGAGGAACACCGGGAGTTTGGCAACGTCTCTCTGCAACGCTCCATGAGACAGACACATAAGTCACACTGAGCAAGAAAAACAAACTTTATCAGACGATAAAGTCACAAAAAAAGAAACAACAACAACAACAAGCTGCTACGCATCATGGCGCCAGAAAAAAAAAGCGACATTTACCACTCATTGGAAAATGTTATTTTAATGAAATAACATTATGACGAAGTTTAAAACATAAAAGAATGACTTATTGTTTACTGAACTTGAGATAGAGATATCCATCATACTTCCTTGCCTTCTATTTTGATCGATGTGGTGGTTATATGCATCGTCTGTTATTTCCCTTTCTTACCTGTCAGAAAACTCTCCACTGTCTTTTATAATTTTGCACCCTGAAGCTTGACAGCGCTGCAAGTCTCAAAGCACTCCTGTTAGTTTATTGTTCCCACATGAAACAGTTTTATTCAACTTCTCAAATCCACTCCACATTTTTTCATCCTGGTCATGCGCTCCTCCGTGAAATAGCTCTATACCCCCCGAGTAGAGCGAGCCCCACAGTTTTAGAACCACCACACTCAGCTGCACTATTATAATGCAGGCAGGGCTTAAACTACCACAGAGTAGTGCAGGAAAGTAATCATTTTGAGCTACTAACTCCAATATAGTCTTACTGAATCTCAAATTGACAACATTTCAGAGTGCAACATTGTTGTTATTATTATTATGCTTCATTTTGTTCTGGCTACAGATATTAAGAAGGTAGATGCTACACAAAACACAAGCTTGCAACATATCTCAATAAATTAAACTAGTTAAAAATAAAATTTTGTGATTTTACATCATAAAATCACGAATTTTACACATACACATTCTTAATAATTAAATTTAGAATTAGAATTTTATATTTTAAAGTGTGATTATAATATAGCCTCAGAGATAATCTGCTACCACCACTCCTTTATACTTTGCACTGTATGAAACCATTCATATTGTTGGAGGTTGGGTTTCTGCGCCC